AAAGTTGTATTAAAAACTATAAGTCTAAAATTAATATTTAAAAAGTTTGTTATAGATAAACTAAAAAATTTTTTCTTATAAATTATTTTTAAAATTGTATATTTTAGGTTCATAAATAATCTAAAATATTTTTTATAATCTTTCAAATATAATTGTACAAAGTTTTATTTAATTATTTTAGTTTTTTATAAAAGTAAATCAGAGTTAAAAAGGTGCAAAAACACAAGCAAATTTGCTTATATTCTATTACAATCTAAGGGATATAATAAAAAAATGAATAAGAAACAAAAAAAATATTAGTTTTACTTATAATATATATTGCTATATTTATTATCATATTTATTATCATATTTGATCTTATATTTAATGATATATCTATTACTTTATTAATTGCTTTATCTATTATCATGTCTGCTATTTTATTAATTGCTCTGCCTACTGTTTTTTTGAATTTAAAGAGATTCAATTTAAGCAGGATATTATAATATCAACTGCAAAGAAAAAACTTAAATAATTTATTTGATAATTAAAGTCAAAAACTTTTTTATAAATATGAGGTCTGTTTTTTGAAAATGACCTTATAGAATATAGTAAATCATATGATTAAAACTTGATTTTCAAGAAACAGACCCCATATATTTAAACTTTAATGATTTCTAAATCAGCTCAAATAAACATATATATGTTGTAAGTAAAAACGGAATTTAAGTGAATTCAGAATTTATATATAAAACCCCATGTTGGGTTGATTATATTATATGTACACCCTAACCCTAACCTTAATTTAACTAGGAAATTCCAAATTCACTTAAATTCCATTCCTACTTACAATATATATGCTTGTTTAATATAAGCAGTTTTATTTTTTGATTAATACTAAAAATTTTTTATAGCTGCAAATAATCTGATGCAAATCTACTATATAATACAAACATTTACAACAGCCAAAGCAAATTCATGATGATATTTAAGTTTGGTGTTTAATACATCAGCTATAAAATATAATATTAATTGTTAATATAAAAAAAAAAAAATTTTTTTTTTTTTTTACAATTTCTTTTATATTTATATGTTATATATTTTAGATTCCTTATTTCTAAACCTCAGATCCCTAGTGACAAAAATTGATAATGGGTAGATCTTATTTTTTCAACACCCATTTTATTTATTTAACTAACATTATATAGAGTTAAAGTTAGTGTTTATTAGTTGTATATATATATTAATAATAATTGTTACCCATGTAATGTTAGTTAAATGAAAGTACAATAATTTAAATTCAATAATTTGAATTCTACGAATATGTAGAATTCGAATAAAAAAAAAAAAAAAAATCAAATTTAGCTTGGTGGTTGTCAAGATATCTTACTCACAAAAAATTCAAGTCTATTAAATAAAAATTTTCTTAAACTTTGAGCAAACATATCTCAAAAACCATCAAATCTAATTTAATAAATTTTTTTTATTTGAATTTTACAAATTTGTAGAATTCAAAAAAAAAGATCACCGGATTTGGCTTCGTATTTGTCAAGATATCTTCGCTCAAATTTTTTTTAAAAAAAACTTAATTCATCTATAAAGTAGAAGCTGCCCAAAAATTTCTAAAACTTTGAAGATATCTCGACAACTATCAATCCAAATTTAATGAACTTTTTTATTTGATTTCTACAAATACGTAGAATTCAAATAAAAAAAAGTTTATTAAATTTTGCCTAGTGGATGTGAGAAATCTTCGCTCAAAGTTAAAAAAATTCAACGATAATTTTTTTCAAATTTAGGCGAAGGTTTCTCGATAACCACTATGCAAGATTTAATAAACTTTTTTTTATTTGAATTCTACGTATCTGTAGAATTCAAATAAAAAAAAAATCATCAAAATTAGATTGATATTTGTTGAGATATATTCTCTCAAAGTTTGAAAAAAAATTTCGTTAAATGTTTTTTTAAACTTTGAGCGAAGGTTTCTCGACACCACTAGGCAAAATTTAATAAACTTTTTTTTATTTGAATTCTATGAATCTGTGGAATTCAAATAAAAAAAGTTCATTAAATTTGGCTTGGTTGTTGTCGAGATATCTTCGCTCAAAGTTTAAAAAAGCTTTAATTACAAATTGCAATTTTCAAATTTCCAGATTCCCAGTAATGTGTGATCTACGAAAGATCACAGTAAATTGAAAAGAGCGATAATTTAGCAGGTTGTGATATCGCAGGTTAATATTTAAAAATTATTATTAATTAGGGTTAGGGTTCGAGCTAGTATTAGAATTGGGATTAGAGAAAGTGCTGAAAACTTTTAATTACATAACATAATGAAATTTCGAGATATTACACAAGATCCTGAGATCTAATTGGTCGATTATATAAAACAAAACTGCGTGATTTTCACGTTACACCTGATCTTGAAATTTGATTGTCGCGTTCCTGAAAATTTTTTGTACGTACAAAACTTTTTTCGCGTCAAAACAGAATTTTCATGGCGCTGCAGCAAACGTCCGAAATTTACATGAGTAGTTCGCTTGAAAATGACGTTATTTTGGAATATGAAAGACTCGTCTCTAACATTGACAGAGTAAGCAAGATAATATCTATGTACTAGCATTACTTACTGTATTTTGTTAAAATTAACCTACAAAATAGTTAAATCAAACAATTACTCGCTTGAACACTACCGACGTCCTTGTCCTTATCGACAAGCTTCGTACACTTGAAAAAAAAGTAGGATTGGTTTACACTTTGTTCAAAGCTTCAGTATATTCTTTGGTTACCGCTGATCAGGATACCGATAACAACGGTTAATAAAACAAATCTTTTTAATAAAAATTAAGTGATGTAAATTTTCGTGTTATTTTAATTAATCTATTATATTACAAGTCTAAGAAATGAATCAAAATATTGCAAATAATTTAAGTGTAACTGGTAATATAGTAAAGTGTAAATAAAAAGGAGCATTATTATTAGAGAACCACCATTAAAAAATGTTGGTCATGATGGCAGGATGGCAGAAAGCTCAACTTCTTCACTGCTACTATTTCCTCTTCGTCGAACACCTTGACCATTTTCATCATTACTTGATCTATTCGGAGATGTTGCCCGACTAGGATTTGGTGACAAACGTCGAAACAACTTTATAGGTAACGTCCGACTACGGTTTAATACTGACAGAAATGATTTCTCTGATTTCTCATTATTCGATGATGATGTAAAAGTGTGAGAGCGACCCAAGATGCGTTTTTGTTTTGGGTGATATACAGATCGTCGAAATCCTTCAAAAGCACTTTCTTCTCCAGAAAAAGCAAACCCTGTGAATGATTGGCGTTTTCCTGAGTTCATATGGCAAAGCGATCGTATGGAATCTTTGCGAGTTTTTTTTAATGCGGAGATCTTTGGCAATTTTGGTAATTTTGACATAGAACGTGGTTTTGTCGGCGCATCTAATGTTACTAGAGGAACATAAGAGCTGTCATTATGTATATCCTCATGTACATCCGTATCGCTATGTACGTCAACTACCGTTACACTATCATAATCGTTTTCATCATCTAAAGACACGTCTGTGTTATCGAATACTTTATCATCATTTTCACCATTCTCTCGTTTCTTTTTACTTCTTTTTTTGGATCCATGAACTTGTTCGCGAACAATGTCCATATCGCTCGGCCAATATGTCTTATGAATATATTTTACTGCATATCGAGGTAAAAGACTAAGTATGACACATAACCCAACAGTTAACCAGAAATCAATTTCGGTATATAATATAAGGTCCATTCTAAAGAATCCAATATACCAAAGAGAGTAAAACTCTACCCATGCATAAAATGAAAGTATACTAAGACTAATCACTACGAAACATAACCATGTCCAATTCATAGTGTTCAAACCCACATACAAATTCGTGGTGACTACGACAGATCCAGCTACCAATGTTCCAAGATCGCTTAAGCCATTGTTTTGCAATCCAGTAGCATGAGATGTTCCATGTTGAAATAGGCCGTAAGGAATAAAAAAACAAATGGCTGACTGATAAACGGCATCTAAAACATAAAGCCAAAATTTTGACTTTGTAAAATCTTGTTGTAATATACCTCGCTTATATAATGGCGGATTTTCTAGCGAAGTTTTAGCATCAACATCTTGATCAAAAGCACCTATATATGTATATTAGTCTGATCAGTATTTATAATAATAATTATAATTAGTTACATTGCACTTTTGTATACGTACCAAGATACATAACAGGGATAGCCGTGAAAGCAAGGTTATAGAGTAAAATATATGTATAATCATATAAATACTGTGCAGTAAATCTATGAATGATATTTGTTTAAAATTATATATTTACATTAAGGTCAATATAATTTAATAATAAGAGACTTCTGAAAGCCTACCCTGCCCAAATTTGATACCAAAACATCGCAATTGTCCAAACGATATTTTTATAGAAGAAACAAGATATCATTTCAGCGATTCGGATATAAGACCAACGACCATGAACGAGTAAAAGCTTATCTAAGAATCGAAATTGGGCAAAAGCATAATCTGCAGCCATTACAGCTTGACGACCTTCTTCACCTGCAATTCCAATACCGACATTTGCTTCCTGAATCATACTCACATCGTTTGCACCTTCAGACGCAAAATGTATAGAAGTAAAGATAAATAAAGTGAAAACTTTAGGTTACATCTAAAGATTAACAGAATATTCGCATACCATCACCAATAGATAAAGTCATTACGTTCAATCCTTCCTTTACTAAAGATACAACCTTTGCTTTTTGCAATGGACTAACACGACAGCATATAACACTATTACATCTTTTTCCGATACCCAATAGCAAATGTTTTAGAGATTCGTCCAAAGCATATTTAAGAGTTTCACCATCAATTATTAGAGCATGTTTGTTACTTTTGTTGCAAGCTTCAACATTAGGTCCAAAGAATTTATCCATAGCTTCATTTAATTGACGAAGAGTACTTTGTTTATCTGATGCATTAATAATGATCAGAAGCATATCTTTCTGTAATAGATTGCATGAGAAACCAATATTGATAGCAGTTTCTGTTTTATCACCCGTAAGCACCCAAATTTTGATACCAGCAGTTGATAAAGTGGCTATACATTCTGGCACACCTTCTTGAAGGCGATCTTCAATAGCTGTTCCACCCATTAAAATCAATGAATGTTCTATTAACTCGCAAGATTGCTCGACCTTTTCTTCACGATCATTAATACTTGAAGAGGCTTCTGCGTAATTCCGAGCCCAAACGTTGTATTCTTCATCAGATATTACTCGATATGCTATGCAAAGTGTTCGAAGGCCTAAAGTATCAATTTTATTGAGTTATTATGAATTTTATTATAAATTTTATTTTATTATAAATATCATCTCAAAATAACGTCCTGGGATGTAGGTTAAAATTTTGGTCCGAATTAAGCTTAATTCTGGCCACAATTTTAATCTACACCCCGGGATTTAAAGTCTTTTTATTTTGGTCGTACCTTCATTAGCAAAATCCTGTAAATCAGCTAATGTATCTTCTTTCAATTGATCTTGACTACCTTCTTCTAATCTTTCATATATTACACTATCGGCACCTTTACATAAAAGGATCACGCTACCTTCTGGAGACCTCAAAATAACAGACATTCGCTTTCTTGTGCTATTGAATTCAAGCACATTTAATAATGTAAATTCCTTGCGTTCACCAAGTAACTCTATCGTCAAAGTATCTTGATGACGTTCAATGAATACAAAGCCCACATCTCGAGCACAACCAACTAATGCGGCTTCGTCAGGTGACTGTGCTTTGTATTCGATCTTGTAAGGATTATTTTCATCAGGGTGTTCAACAAGGACCGTATGACAAAGAGCGAGAGCAGAAAAAAAATCTTGTATGGCTTTAGATTGTTTATTTTCTGCTCTGAGATCACAAAACAGATTAGAATCAATAAAAGTAAGATTTGATGACATATATTGATTATCAAATAACATGGACATTTCTTTCAACATTAATTGCTTTTCTGCCACAAGATCAACCTCATCCGAAGAATTCTCATTATCAAATTGTTTCTGTAATTTAGCACCACGCGTGGTATCTGTCTCGCCTTTTCCATAAGATACACCATTAATGGTACATTTACGAAATTCCATGACATTTTGAGTAAGAGTACCAGTTTTATCAGAAAATATGTATTCTATTTGACCCAGATCATCAGAAATATTCCATGTTTTTGGGGTACAAGGATAATCAAGTTTTGGATAATACATGTCGATGTCAGAATGTATAAAATACGCCTTAAATTATAATACAAATATTAGATACAAAGTTTTAAAATATATATAAATTTAAAGTAAATAGGATAAACTTACTTGAACTGTCTTGACTACTTCGATTGTAATATATAAAGAAATTGGTACGATATTTTGAAACAAAATCAGACTTGCCCTAAAATTACATTAAAAAAAAAAATTAGAAATAAGTAAAATTGAATATTTGATAAAATGAATTAGGTTCTTTCCCTTACCAAAATGTAAGAAAAGCACTTGACCACGCGGTAGAATTATTGCTTTTACTATGTTCAAAAACATCAGCCGAACTCTTAGGTTGAATAAAGAAAAGAGCATCGGCAATGGCGGAACCAAGACAGAGTAAAAATAAGATGACAAAGTTCATAGAGACCTGAGAAATAATAATAGTCATAAGTTAATAACAAAAGAAATACAATATAAGGATGATAAAACTTTTAAGGAAATTAAGCAACGCAATTTTTTAATTGGGGGTCGATACCAAACAAATAACATCCTTGGATATTCTCGGAGGTGAACGAACATACATGAAAATTTGTTTCAATCTCAATTTTACTCCTCTTACTGGGAGTATCGCCAGAATTCAACATAATTTTTGTATCAGTACCAGTAAATATAACCAAACCTATGGCCCATTCAGTATTTCGAAGTACACATCCACGTAACAGAACATCATTTATAGATATTGGTTCAATTAGATTATTATCAGTGGCATCATTATCGGGATAATGTAATACACCGGTATAAGAATATAAATTAGAATGAGGTTGTTCAGATTCTACGTAAAAAGCAATATTTTCACAATCACTTTCAGTAGTGATTGAGATTGTTGAAGGAACACAATGACGAACTTTGAGATTTGTTTCGCCGTCAAGATTTTTTGTTTCGACATAGCAAAGACCATCCGGTTCACTAGTGGATAATATTATCATATCAGCAGGAACAGCATCATTATTTTTGAGTTTTACAATATCACCAACTTTAACATCTTGCCAATGACTTTCAGTCCACACTGCACCATTATGAGTAGTATGAGATACTTTATTATTATCTAAATTTTCGCCTATTCGACAGCCTAATAAGTTAAAGATACCATTCCATATTCTGACCAAAAAATTTTGACTCGACGTATCATTAGTTGGTATATTTACATTCCGCCAATTACGTAATAAAGTAGTTTGTGATCTATTTAGATTTTTATCTTGAGCATGACGTTTCCAATCTTCAAAAGCATCTTTTAGAGCGGTCATTGAAATAATTGAAATAAGTGGAACAGAAGCTAAAAAAGGTTGAACTTCACCACCAATCATGGGAAAGAGTTGTAAAACAACTAAGAAAAGAAAATACATATTTGCTACCCTACGAAATTGTTCAAATAAATTTTTAGGTAAAAAAGTCAATAAAGTATATTTTGAAGTACGAATTTTATTCGTGACATAACACTCTTTTGGTTGGCCATATTGGTCAAGCTCAGTGGCAGGTAAGGGTAAATTAACATATATACGACGTTTAGATATAGTTGGTATTGTAGAGGTAGATATCTTTCTCTGGTGTCCAGCATCACCACTGTTCTGGTTTTTTTGTTGCTTTCTTTCAAAGAAAGGCATTATTAAAGTATTTATCTTTAAAAAAAAGGATAAATAAGAGCACCGGTTCCGGGAAGATAAGTTATGGCTAAAAAGGTTAAAAGCGTTTTAGTTGTAGTGCCATCAGATATAAAAAGAGGGAATAAAGGAAAGAGAGAAAATTGAATATATAATTTAGGGTAGAAACAAGGAAAGTGCAATTAAACGCTAAAGTCTTTTGATATGTTACGTGTGTATGCAACATCACGGTTTTAATATAGTTTACTGGTTCATATTGCACCTGATCAATGCACAACATTTTTGATATACTGTAGATTACATAACTTAGGTCACGTATATGGTACATGATTAATTTGCTATTTTTAGTAAGTTCTCCTTGGACTTGGATTACTGAATTTTATGATTGTACAGGAGCCAATTCTCGAAAATTTGCAATCCTCGTTTGTTTTATAATAATGTAACACTTTATATATTAACTTTGTAGTTAAATTGTGTACGTAATACGATAATTAATAACAATAAATATATTCTTATATGTATATAATGTATATACTGTATATGTACATACAGTATATTAGAAAATTTTAATTAGGGTCCGGAATCGGGTGGGTTGTGCCGAGTCGAGCCGGTTTAAACTAGATTTACAGTTTTGATAAACTTTTGAATCAAAAGTTCCAGAATTTATGAAAACAGCTGTAAACTAGACCCGAACCCGAAACTTCTAATCCGGGCCGGGCCGGGCCTGTGACTCAATTTACAGCTGTTTTCCGGAAACTACACCGATGTCTTCGGACCATCTGTCCGGAAGCAGTGATGTAATTTCCGGAATGTTAGGTAATTTACCGAACGACCAAAAAGATTTCGGGTAATGACATAAATTCTGGCAAAAAATGACCGACCGAATATTAGCCGATTCGATAAAAATTTATCACTGCCTAATCACAATTTATCGAATCGGCAAATATTCGGTCGGTCAATTTTTGCCAGATTTTCCAGAATTTATGAAAGCAGCTGTTTTTGAAGTTTGTAGGCTTTTTTCATAAAGCCCGGCCTGACCCGCTGTAATTACGGGCCTAAAAATGTCGGGCTTTTGTGGGCCGGGTCGGGCCCCGGTTAGCCCGGTCCAATTCCGGACCCTATTTTTAATACGTAGAAGGGGGCTCAATTATTCAAGTCTAGATTTGTAGTAAACAGATTTCAAAATATCCATAAATATCCATAAATATCTATATCATTACCGTTACATCTTAACTACTCCCTTGAAATTATAATTACGTCATCTAATTAGACTTTATTTGTGCCTTGGGGTGTTATTTCGAGATACAGCTACGTAAGCATGATTCCCAAAACGTACGTACGTATGTTATTTCAAATTGAAAAATGACATTCGTCAATTAATAATTGACATAAATTGACATAAATTTAGAAATGACGCACAACATTTCTACAATTTTACGTAATTTATCATATCTGATGGAAATAGGCGTTCCCTAAAAATTATTTTTCATTTTTGTCTAGATTAATTCCCAAATAACGCCTAGGTATATGTTGTAAATGAGATCAGAAGTTTTTAAGTTTATTTAGGATTTTCAGGTTAGCGTTAGGGAGTAGGTTTATGTAAAATAAGCAGTATGATGTACGTACGTTCGTATATACCTTGAAAAATTCCAATTTGACTACGTCCCATAGGCTATAAATGAATATGAAATATCTGTAGATCTGTGCATAAAATTTTAATTTGTGCGCGCTATTTGAACATTGGCTCAAATTTTATGTGCGTTATAAATATAATCTGCAATTCAATTATTAAAATTCATTAAATTATATACAAGAAAAGAGTGTTTTTTAATAATACTGGAAATTTGAATTCTAAATAAAATTTTAGCGCACATCATGCGCGCGTTAAACGCACAGATTTTCAGTATCGCAACTTCATGGTAGGGTACGGAATGGGCCGAGTCGGGCTCAAAAACAGCTATGATGAACATCTACATTTTAATTGGACGAATCAATAATTCAAATGTATTTTTTTCGCGAAGATATCTATCTCGACGAATTTTTTTTTTTTTTAGTCATATAGAATCAAAATAAAAAGGATTTATTGATTTTTGACAGATGGTTGTCTAGATATCTTTCTCAAATTTTGAAAAAAACTTTGCAACTGCTTTTGTTTTGATTAAGTTTTTTCCAAAATTTAAAAATATTTTTGCGAATAATTTGGATTGAATATTTCGAACTGAATCTTAATCCAAAAATGTTACCATGTGATCTATTGTCATGATTCTGATTGGCCAATGTTGAGTGAGATCTTTTATGAATTGATATAATATTAACCATTACCATTACACTATAATTTAATTTATTTATTTGGTGGTAAGTATCAAAGATCGTTTAACAACTAGGAAAACGGATTTATTGGGCTACGAAGCACTGCTCCAAATTTTATTCTGATCGATTGAATGATAGTAGTAATTTGGAATCGCTTGCTTATATTTAACTTGTCCTATTTTTCTTGAAACCCATTTGGAATTTTTTCTTGCTAATCCTCTGCTCTGGATAATAAATTGTTGGATTTAAATTGAGAAAACGGGTTAGCATTCTACCCCATTCTATCCGCATCTTGTTTTTTTAAGTAAAACGGAACAGTGGGTCAAGGTCAATTTGGATTTACTTAGATTCGAATTATCATTAATTTTGTCACGGCAGATTCTCGATTTTGATTGGCTAACGGTAGTGTTCCGCAAAATGGATTCGAGATTCGGGATTCGACGAATTTATTCCAAAATTTACGAATCCTGCGAATCCGAATCCAAATACGGATATATTCGATTCGGATATCGATTCGGATCTGGTAGTGTTCGCCGAATCTATTCAAAATTTACGAATCCTGCAAATTCGAATCCAAATAGGGATTCGATCAGATAATATTCGATTCGGATCCGGTTTATTACTAAAATCCACCAATACATCTGATTTCTTTCCATTTGCGTGAATATTTGAATGCGTTTATTTTTTATTCTTTATTTATTTATTTATCGTTATTTTCTGATATATAATTTAAATGCGCCCACATATATATCTAATAATGCCAGATATTTGACCTTATTAAGTTATGTCTGATTTCTTGTCCTTTGTGTAACATGGTTTCGCCTAACAATTATATTCAAGATGGCGTGAATGCATTTATTTTTTATTTATTTATAAGCTTTTTTTTTTTTTTTTTTTTTTTTTTTTTTTTTTTTTTATTTTTTTTTTTTATTTTTTTTTTTTTTTTTTTTTTTTTTTTGTTTTTTTTTTTTATTTTTTTCCCCTAACAATTTTTTTTAATGTGGGGTGAATTCTTTTTTTTTTTTTTTTTTTATAAGTTTTTTTTTT